GCATAAACAAAATAAAAACTCAAGATAGGGATCATCATTTGGCCCTAAGTCCATGAGCTGAAGTGGGTAGCTCAAGGCCTAATGGGCCAAAGTTCGACATGGCCATTCTTTAGGTCCGTTCGGTTCGACTCGCTCTTGAATTGAATAGGGCTTGAGATTATAATTTGAAACCCTTGACCCAACCCGTCTAGGCCTTTTTTTTTAAGACTTCATTGATATGCACTCCTTAACCTCATTTTAGACTTAATCAAAATAATACAATTGTTTAGGCCCAAAAAAGTCACGAGAAGCCCAAAGACATTTAAAGTCCAATATAACATAAAATGTTGGTCATGCGTTAATCCAAGCTGTCATCCAAGTGCACTCCCTAACCTTATTGTATACTTAATTGAAATAATATAATATGTCTCATAAATTAATAAACTTTTTTTTTACACATAACTATGACCACACAATATTATATACCGATGCGGCATCATTGACCACACAACATAAACTCGACATTATTATTATAATACATGTTAATTCTGGACACAAATATATAAAAATAACATAATGTGCTAAAAAGTTTCCCAAAATTAATTAATAACTTCCTAAAATGGCTAATAAATGAGTCATTTTAAACATGAACAACTTAATCTTGTTTGTAAAATAAATAAAAAAGAAAAAAGAAAAAAGAAAAACTTAATCCATGGAACCCATTTATTTGATATTGTATAAAGAAAATGTTTGAATATATTTATTTTCCTTAATATTTTTTTTTATACAAATAATATTTTTATTCTATATAAAAAAATATATAGTATTTTTATTGGTCGTGCGTTTACAATTTTGTTTCCTCGATGAACCTCTTGAAACGACGCCGCCTCACCTTATTATTATTTTTTAAATATTCTTGATTTTTTGGACGAATAAATATTCTTGATTTAATTAACCAAATTACCGAACACTTCGCCATCTTTATATTCAGCTGAAGAGGTTGAAACCCTAGCTAGGGTTTAAGCACCTGACCGTTTCAAAGCAAAACCCCAAACTATTTATATTCGCTTGCTATTAGCACTTATGGAATTTCACTTATCTCATTCTTCAACACGAGTTCTTCTTGTCTGCGTTCTCAAATGGTAGGGCTCATCCCTGAACTAACCCTCGAAGACCTCGATCTAGCTTCAAAGACCAAGATTTCAAAGGACCCGCCTGACCCTGTTGATCCCAGAGACCTGACGTTTGCAGATTCGTTCTTGGATTTTGAGTCCATAGAGGATTGGTTTAAGGATATACCAAACCCTGATATGGCAGAAACAGGGGAGGTCAAGGTTGAGGTGGTTGAAGATGGGTTTATTAGAGAGGCAAATGGCTGTGAAGGCCAAATTTTTAATGTGTATGACCCAATTGATTGTGGATCTGAACCGACTGTTGATGGGTCTGTGCCAATTGATTGTGGTTTTGTGGAGAAGGTGGAGTGTGAAATATCAGAACATTTGAGTTGTTCTATTGAGGAAGAGCTGGGGAAGGTCAGTTTGCTTGGAGGGTGTGATCAAAATTCGGTTCTTGATGGTGGGAATTGTATGAGGAGTGAGAGGCATGAGGAAAGTTCGGCCCTTAATGGTGAGAATGGTATGCAGAGTGAAATAGTGAGTCGTAATGCTGGAGAAAGAGAACCACAGAATAATGAGAATGGGAATGAAAGTTTGAAATCCAAGATTGAAGGTGAGAATGGTGCTAGAAGTGAAATAGTGAATGAAAGTTCAGAGTCCTCATCGTCGTCTTCGAGTAGCAGCTCGAGTGTTGACGACAGCAGTGATGATGACAGCAGTAATGATGGTGATGATATGGATGAGGAGGAAAACAAGAAAGGGAAAATGAAGGTGGAGGTGGAGGAGTGCGACGAGGCTGGTGAAATTGAAGAAGGTGAGATACGGGATGCTGATGGAGGGGAGAAGAGAGATAAGACAGACTATATAGATTATGAAAGTGCTGCTGATGATGATGATGATGATGAAGTGGTTGCTTGGACTGATGCTGAAATTTTTGATGATGGAGACGAGGAAGAGGATGATGGTGGAGCTCTGAAAGGACCCATTAGGTCCAAGAATGAGCTTGAGGTAAGAAATTTTTTTATTGGTCCTCTCTCGCTTTTGAAGCCATTACTGAACTTTTGAATTGATAAGCTGCTATGAACTTTTGGCGAGAGGTGGACAAAAAGTCTCCATTGATTTGCTTGGAGTCACGGAGGAAATGGTACTTCATGACTCCTTACTGATAAATTAGCTTAGCTGAGGGGTACTGGTTGATTTCGTTTTAGTGTAGATAGATGAGAAGATAGCCAACCTCAACTTTTCTGGATGGGGACTTGGTTGAATTTAGTTGGGATAAGGGGAAAGAAAAAGTAGTTAAGATCTTTAAGCAAGCAACAAAGGAGGATTCGGCTATCCTTCTCACTGTCTAAACACATGTTGAATTGATCTTCTTTTTCTATCATATAAGTCTCATATTTAGTGGATTCCAGAATTGCCAGTATTTTGGTCTGAATACTCTGAAGCAGATTAAGTAGCTTGCGTTGGAGTTAATACAGCATGATAATGTTAGGTTTTATTTTTCAATGTCTCTTAACTTAGGCTACTTTTACTTGTCAGAACTGACTTTGGAATTTTTGTCAGCCATCTTCTGTGTAAACCGTCAATGAAATTAGCTTTCTGCAGTTATATGTCTGCAAATTGCTTGAAACAGATTGTTTTGAACTTTGCAGGTACTTCCACCTATTCCTCCAGTGAATGTGACCTTGGAACCACATCATCAGATGATGCCTGTGGGAGTTGTTTTATCGGTAAGCTCATAAGCAAGTAATCCTATATTGTAACATGGACTCCATCAATCTCTGGTGTCATTGAAAATGTAGAATCTAGGTGACACTCCAGAAGATGCACATTTGTGGTAATGTTTGAGTTTGATGTCAATTTCAATTTTACAGATCCTTGGTACCCAAGCCATCGTAGAAGGGGTTCAGAAGCACAACCCTCTAAACGAGGGTTCAATTCTTTGGATAACCGAAAGCAGATCTCCGTTGGGGTTGATAGATGAAATCTTCGGACCTGTCATACACCCTTACTATGTGGTGAGATACAATTCAGAAAGTGAAATCCCTGCTGGAATACAAGCAGGCACTTCGGTCTCTTTCGTTCCGGAGTTTGCAGATCATGTGCTCAATAACAAGGATGTTTACAAAAAGGGTTATGATGCATCTGGTAAAAATGATGAAGAGGTGTCAGATGAGGCAGAATTTTCAGATGATGAGAAAGAGGCTGAATACAGGAGAATGCAAAAAATGACAAAGAGGGGAATGAATGACCAGAATCTTGGCAATAGGAAAAACAACAGAAAAAAGGGTAAAAACAAGCCTGGACCCTGGAAAAATGATCAACCTTCACCCCAGCAAACACCAAAGGATGCAGGTCAGCTGCCTCCCAATCAACACCAACATCATTTCTCTCCAGCTGCACCATCATTTGATCGCGGTTATTGTCCATCTTCTTCTGCAGCACCACAAGGTTTTGTTGGTGGGACTGGATTAGTTCCACCATTTCCAGCTGCTACACAGGCCACTGGTATGAACGCAACTTCAAATGGAGTTTGGACAAATGGGATGCCGTTTCAGCAACAAAATACATCCTTCCCTAATGGATTTCCAAATAATAGTTCGCCATGGCCTTCACCCTATAATCATCAATATCCTTATCAAATGCCTATTCCGGAGAGATTGCCATTCTATCCGCAGGCTGAAGGTCAGAGATTTCTTTCTGGTGCTGTCTTACCAGGTGGACAGTTGAATTCCTTTGCAGGACCAACGTATTCACAGGGGCTGATGGGTCAACATGGCTTCAATCAAACAACATTTGGGATAGGTTTACAGGGCCAACCCACACCAGGTCAACAATTGAATGCCTTTGCAGGACCCATGTATCCACAGGGGATGGTGGGTCAGCATGGTTTCAACCAAAATGCATTCGGGATGGGTTTACAAGGCCAACCTACTCACCCGACCTTAAATGCAGACCAAGGAATGCTGTCGAATAGATTGCCTGTTGAACAGAACTGTAATATGCCACAGCCTGTCGCAAATACAGGCAATGTGGGCATGCAGCAATTTAATCCGGGCGCATCTTCTAATCGTGGAAGGAGACCCTCTCATAGAGGGGGTCGTCATTTTGGAAGGGGAAGAGGTAGGCAGCAATCAAGGTGAAAGTTATGGCATGCTCTGCTGCACCAAGCACACTGAAGTTAAACTACAATAGGCGATGAGAAGAGCCACCGTTTTGAAATTGCTTGGTTCTTTTGTATTTTGTTTACCGATTTTGATAGTCTGTTCCATGATGCCAATTTTCTCGTTTTTGTATTTGCTGGTCCAGTATATGGATGAACATAATACCTGCAGCATGGAGATCAATGTGATGCATTAAATTCTATTGGTGCCCTTATTTATTAGTAGAAGTTAAATTCCAAAGCGAGGACTAGGAGGTTAAAATGGTCTTGGGTGAAGTCGAATTTTGAATGTCGAGAAATTCTGGTTTAGTAAAATGTTGAATTGTGTTGTGTCCGCAATATATAGAAAATAAAGAAGTTGAATTTTGTATTCCGGTGTCCGTTGGGGCAAATCTTTTGCAAGGGGTTTAGTCCTCCCTAACTTATGCAAAGAAAAATACATATAGAAACTCAATGTAACTTCCCATCTGATTCCCCAACAAATACAACGGGGCTCAAATCCTTTAATTCATCACCTAATTTTCTACTCACAAATTCGTATTACTCCATCTCAATACTTTGCATTTGCAATGTATATAAAGTATTTTCTTTCATTTGCAAGGGTTAATCTAGCGAAGACCGTAAGTATGTCCGATGACAGAAGACAGAATCTCCAGGTCACTCTTAAGCTTCCCAAGTATTCAACAATTCAACAAATTTTGAAAATGGTAGGATAGCAGAACTAAAATATCACACTGACCAAATAGAAATGATGAGAATAAATCATTAAATTAGAAGGTTCTGAAGCAGTCAAGAGAACAACATACATTGAACTCAGGTGACTGGAAACAAGTTTAAACATATAAGGAGAATGTCATTGAAGGCTGCTTTTCAATGCTTCTTTTGCTTCTTTTTTCTTTTCAATGCGGCGAAATGGGAGGTGGTGGGCGTTCTCTCAATGAAGCTATAATTGGTGCACATAACCCATATGATGAAAAGAGAATATCAGGACCACCGATTGTTACTCAAGTTTTAGCATTCCTTGTGAAGTCAGTGCAAGTCTGGCAGCTGCAATCTGAGAAACGACAGATTTCACAGCCAAAGCACACACAAGAAGTGCAGCCTTGGCATGTTGGAGAACGGGTACAGCCTCTATATACTCTTCGACTTGCTCGTTCTTCTTCATCATTACATGTTATTCTGAAATACATAAACAACCATTCCCATCATCATTATTGAACCTTTAAAAACCTAAACATACCTAATACATATATATACTTGGTGTTTGCACGAATTTACAACATACACACTTTAAAGATGTGGTCACAAGGAACATGAAAGTAGATTTACCCCCAAACTAAAATACCTACTGGTAGCTTTTAAACATTCTAGTGGAATAACATTTACTAAAATTAGCGCCTTCCATTTTCAGGGTTATGTGTTCCTAAGGCAGTATTCGAGTTCATTACATAGTAATAGAATATTATTCCTCTGAAGTAAAATCTATTTTTGCTGAATGAACAGGATACATAAACATAAAATAGGTGAACAATAGAACTATAGACGCTTCAATAAGCAATCATTTAATGGTTCTAAAAGTTGAGTAGAACAGTATTAAAACCGTAATAACTTTAGACACCATTAGCATAAGTATGGAACAAGCTTGTTCATATGCTTCACATTGTTAACAATGGTTAATGGACTAAAGTATAAGAGAAAAAAACAACCTGATCCATTAATGAGTAAAGTATTTATTCAATGTAAGAGAGGAACATACTTGTCATATGGCAGCTCAGCACATTTCCAGTTCACATCAGCTAAAGCATCATGGTGAATCCGGCATTCCTCTTTTGTCCGGAGACGAAACCTGCGCTCCTTGTTGCATCTAGTACAGCAAACAAACTCATCACGGTGACAAGCCCGTCCATTGTTGGATCTGTGGGAAGCATTAGCATGTTTTGATGCCTCGTTGTGGTATTTGAGCAGCACTGTTTTACACAGTGCAACCTTCTTCCCATTATCAATTACCCAAACATTATTCTTCCATTTCCTAGCTGTCTCTCTTCCAGAATGCTTCTCAAATGCGGCAGGAGTCAGTTTGTCTAGTCATTAAAATACAAAGAGAAAAATTCAGATGCTTAAAATGCAAGATTTGAAATGAAATTGAAACAAAAAACCTGAATATAACCATAAGCATCAGACACTTCAATGTGTGCTTTCTTCATGATCACTTAAAGTAGTTAAACAATACTTGAAAAGGCTTGCATTCCTGCCAGGTAAAGTTTCACATGCTAAAAGAAAAAGAACCTTTACCATTTTCTGGATATTCTCAAGGCATCACGCTCGCTTAGATATAGCTAACTTAACTACATAATTAAGCATTAAGGTGCTGTGTCTTTATCTTGTTAGAACACGAAAAGTACTGAAAGTACAAAGACATCACTTCAAGACAAGAAAGTTGTAAGCAGGTGGTCTCAGTTATGAAGTTAAGACAGTAACCAAATAGCTTTCCTATTCATGGCTTCAAGGTAACTATTTGCTCTACGAACAGAACAACTGTCCTTAATGTACCAAGTTTTAGATGAGGAAAATAAACTGGAAATTCAATGTACAGCGAAGACATAGAATCTTATTAGATCCTCTAATGTTTTAAAAGTACTCAATAGAAAGAAAAGAAAGTCCATGAGCTATGGCAAATCCAATATGCATAATTATGAGGATGCAACACTTTCAGATCCTCGGTTGTCAGAAAGAGGTACTTTTGAAAACTCCACGCCATATTCTCATTGCTTATTGATAATATTACTGTAGAAACAAGACCAGATGCTCATAAAGACATCAAATAACAAAGCCTAGCTTGAAAGTTATGCGCTTGATTGCTCATCAGAAATCAAGTGCAAAGTTCATTAGCTGCAAGAAACACTGATAACCAAAGAACAAAAATACTATCAATACCAATAAGCCAAGGATGAAAATGCAATTTCATGAACCACACTTGTTCAAATTACAAGAAAGAAGAAAGAAAGATAGATAAAACCCTATAAAAACTAACAATGGTATGCAACTCCACAACATCTTACTCTGTAGAACAGAAAGAAAGAACAGAATTTGGACATCAAAACCAAAACCAAAACCAAGTCCAGGAGGTCCCGATCACCACCACAATGGCAATGTAGGTTTAATTCTCAACACGCCGC